ATCTAAGGTAGATATTCTTTTTCTCATTTGATTCAACTCATCATTGTGCATACAAGTATTGCTACTAGAAGTAGGATAAACAAGATTACTCATCATAGATTTTAACTTATCTACTTCTAACATAGCATCACGTTTTTCATGAAGCAAACTAGCATTTTCAATTTTCAAATTTTCATTGCATTCTTTAAGAATTATATTTTCATTTGCAATAAAATTAAACTTAGTAGCTAGTGTTTCATGAATAGATTTTATATTAACATACTTACTTTTTACATCAATATAGCTATTGTGTAATTTTTCAAACTCAAGAGCAAGTTCATCAAAAGTAATAATATCATCGTTATCGCATACCTCACTAGGGTTATTACCTAGTGGTATTGTACATGGGGATGAGGCTTCCTTAGAGCTCAAAGCGGGATTTTCCAACGCTTCTTGAATAGCCTCCAATTTTCCTTCATGTGCTTCAATAAGTTTCCATAAAGCATAAGCACTATCAAAATTAGCAAGTTTGTTAGAAAATGATGAGTGAAAAGCGCTAATCAAAAATCCTAACAAAAGCTTATTCATGTTAAACAATCTTTTGTCATTGTCACACCATTTTGATTTTTCCAAAATAGGAACAACATAAGCATCCTCAATAATTTTCCATAGATCAAATTGATTAGATTGAACGAAAAGTTTAAATCTAATACGCCATTGAGCATAGGGAAAAATATCCAAACGAGGAGCAATATTAATAGCATATCCTAAGCAAGATGAATCATTCATATCCATAGAGATGAAATGCAAGAGGCACAATAATCAAAATTAGATTAGCACTAATAAGATAACTTGGATCTTTAACTCAAGGCGGTTAGACCTTAAATCAAAGAGCACCAAGCTTTGATACCAATTGTTAGACCCTAGAGGGGGGGTGATTAGGGTCTTATGCTAATCTAATTCCAATTAAAAGCTAATTAAAATTATATAGATCAATATGTTCTTGCAAGAGATAGATATGAACAACAAGAACAATAAGAGTATGCACAAATAAAATATGAGACAAGCAAAACACAAACACACGAGATGTTTACGAGGTTCGGTCCCCACGACCTACGTCCCCGCTCCTCACCTCGAGGAGATATCCACTATCACAATCCGGTTTGGAAGCCGGAACTTCTACACACTCGGTTTACAAGTTCACCGAAAACTCTCACACTACACAATCACTCAACAATCACACTTTACACACTAAGTGTAGGAATCTAGCCCGTGTCCTCCTCCTCAAGTGCTCGATTACAACCTCTCCCTAGGTTCGTCAATCGACGCCACTCCTATTGGATTTGACCCCGTCTCTCTCTCCTCACACTTCTCTCGGTGTACAAGTGTATTACAAGTGATTCTCACAAATAAAAGTTAAATACAATGATTTGTTCTCAAATAACAAGTGAGAACTCAATGAAGCTCACACTCACTAAATCACACCCCACAACCCACAAAATATAATATGAAAATATTAAGCTCAATAAGTGTGTGTGATAACAGTGAATGAAACTCAATAAATATAGCTAAATAAAATGAAAATAAAATAACAAGCTATATAAGAGTTTAGAAGACTTCTCAAACAAGAAGAACAGTAGAGATGATTCCAATAGGATTGAATGCCACTTCTTGTTGTAGAAAAACTCCTCTTGAAAAACTGATTGATGAAATCAACTATTAAACAGCTCTTAAACACAATTAATATTTTGTTAAACAACAAACTTGGATTTCTTAGTTAT